GGAGGAAACCGGGGGATCCGGAGATAACCCACCAGGTTCCTTTTCACGCACAACCGGGGAATCAAAACCACGCCAGTTGACCAAATGACAGGCCTTATGATACAACGCGCACGCGCTAACCCCACCTCCCAACAAAGTAAAAGGTCGACGTGTAATGTAAATATCGAGTCATAATGATGGTTATTCGGGCCAATTTACTGTCCGGTGGTCATAAATATCTGTAACGATGGAATGGACAAAGCTGAGCTTAGACATCTATAGTCAAATATGTGATTTTGAAACCAAAATGCAATATCTTATTTACCATGTTTACGTGTTTAATGTGAGGGGGTGCTTTTCTGGTCGGTTCCACAATAAATGGTATTGCCTTGCTTGTCTAGGTTTCTTATGCATAAGATTTGGGTGAAACGGTTAGCTGGTTACGGTTATACGTAATTGATTTATGTTTAGTTGTCTTTGTGAATCTCTATGTTGAAGAACTTTTCAAAAACAAATATGGTTTAGTATTAGTATAATTCGGCGATTATTTAACTATATATTTCAATGACCACTGAGTATTGCATGTTTACTATTTTACTTGTAAATAATCAAGTTTTAGATCTCTTACTTTGTAACAAATAAGTGGGGAACGAAGTCGAACCGGGCACGAAGCAAAACTGCGACACGGGACCTGAAATACCACCAATGTAATTTCTTGGTCGAGTCGGATGTACGGGTGTGTGTGTAATGTAATAGCTTTATTTAACGTCCGCCTCCTTCGAATTGATATCACAGGGTATAAGTGATTCATGCGAAGTGTTTCTCTTTTCTTTAAAAAAAGTGATGGCAGGTAAACGTTGAAAATCGGTGATGTAGAACATAGATATATGTATTATATTCTCAATATAAATCTCTTTTTGCTTGACCTGCTTCAATAAATATGATACAGTTTGAATTTATCAAGGGTGAAAAAACAAATTTGAACCCCATAGAGAACGGTTGTATTATTATATGTTTTAATTCGCTATAATTTATCATATTTAATATCATTTACGTATAAGATATAATGGTTTTTTTTTCTGAAAATTGTATACTGAAATAATATATAACTGGGCAGGTGGGCTTTTAGGGGCGAATAACCTTTGATTAAAGAGCGCTTGTACTATGGGTAGACGTTTAGCGGATTTTTTCGTATCACGGTTTTGATTGAAAGGTTAATCTGGGGTAGACCAATTACATTTCCGGATTACCGAACAAAAGTCAAAGGATGGATATTGAAATGGGTTCCTTCATTCCCTGATTTTTTCCAGAGCATATCTCATAAGATATCCTTTCGAACTTTGTAAGCACACCAACATGCAGTAATAGTTATTATACCTTTTACTAATTAGCAGTAATAGTTATTATACCTTTTACTAATTAGCAAATTCTCAGTATGTAAAATTCCCTACAAAGGTCACAATTATATAGAATACATTTCGACTAGGCTTCTCTAGTCATTATCAAGCAATGATAAAATATGAAACTATAACAAGACAATATAAACACGTGCACAACAATACTTGGTTAATGCTGACCAACCGCAGATACCCTTCTAATACTATACCGGTATCCCGGCATCGCATTAAAGAAGTAAGATTGTTACATACAAGTACATAATAATGTTCCTTCCGTTCTTCGTATTTATTAAACATCAGTATATGGTGAGGTGGCAGTCAAGCTCATCGATCAAATACGAAGAACAAAAGGAAAAAGTAGCGTACCAAAGGGCTTATTATTAACTTAATACGCAACCCCTTTCCATTAACATAAGAATACGAGGGCAAGGTGTTAGCCATAAGGTAACACTTCCCTGAACAGAACAACACGGATATTTGGTCTAGACACTTTAATATGAATCACGTCAACACAAAGTGAAAGAAGAAACAAAACAGATATAAAGTTTATTAGCTAATAATATTAAGGTCTGCAAGCAGTTAGATGGAATTACAAAGTGTACTTCCGTCGGTACCCAAGCCACGGCGTACTAAATAATTGGTTATGGGATGGAAGAAACTTTGGAAAGTTTAACGAGTAGCTACGTCCTATCCTACCAGGCTCAAAGAACAGGTTGAAACCTTTAACTGCACTTACAGTCGTCAGTGATTGGACCAGTTTCTGGCAAAAGCTTGTGGTAGTCCTATTGTCAATTTGCAGGGATGGGAACTCTGCTGTAAAGACTACTCTGTCCAGCTTTCATTGACCAAGCAATTATACTAATCGTTCTCAAACGCACTTAATCAAGAAATAATAAATCTACCAGTGGAAGATCCAAACATACATTTATACATTTATGAAAATACATCTGATTAGCGTATGATAAATATTGAAACGATTTACCAATATTATAAATAATGGACATTAAATATATGGCGGTATATTAGATTCAAAATCCTAACGTGCTATCGTCTAATTTCTAACTTCCGTTCATGTAATTTTAAACTTCTATTCATGTAATTTCTAACTTCTATCCGTGTAACTTTTAAATTAAGACAATGTATAATCGAACTTCTTTATTTGTTCAGTGTAAAATTTAATTCTATTTCATCTTATTTCTATTATTTAGACGAAAAACGTCTTCTTCATTGATGCTTTACACATTTAGCATGAACATAACGAATTTAGAATTTTTACACTTCTGCCTAGCAACCATCATTATGAAGTCGTTTGGTGGTAATCACTGTGTGCTCATTTGGCGATTGCGCACCTGGTCGGGGCCATTGTGTTGAAATAAACGACTCGCTCTTCGTCTGATTGATGGTTGGCCGGAGTGCTGAAATTTAGAGAGAGAGAGAGAGAGAGAGAGAGGGTTTAATGACCACTCTACACAAACTAGGTCATTTCGGAACTAACATATGGTTCAATTTTATTTCAATAATTCACTTGCGCGTAGGGGTCTAGCAGTGGGGGGCAACCTTGGGACCCGGAGAAAACCCACGAGGTTGGACAAGCGTCTCTACCCATTTCACGTACAACCGGGGAATCGATGTTGAGATCGAACGTGATATGGTTGGCAAATACTATTTCAAATATAAGCTAAACAGCATTTGGTCAGCATTAACCAAGTATTGTTGTGCACATATATTGTCTTGTTATATTTTCATATTTTATCATTGCTTGATAATGACTAGAGAAGCCTAGTCGAAACGTCGATCAGTTATAAGCAGGAATTGCATTCCATAGAATATTGACCTGTATATTCCAGTTCAATTACTAAATGCCACAGAAACAATGTAAAATTCCAATGACTCTCAGAATCCCCACCACAACACATGCCACACTACAGTCATACCTATAATTATACTAACGTACGCCATATTATATCACAATATGACCTGGGCATGTGTCTACAGACTTGGAACCAGCATGTAAATGATAACTGGAAAAACATGTACTAATTTAATTTTATTCTATCGGCACCGAATTAACTTCCAACGGTTTAGAATCAAACTTTAATTTCATTTAGTGCATCGCAGTCAGTATCCAAAATATTTTAAATTCCAAATCAGCAAGAAATTGGAACCTAACTAATGTCTTATACTTTTAAATTGAACTACTTAGATCGAGAGTGTAATCATGTTCTGATATATATGAAATATGATGTAGAGAGACTGTCTATTAACATGATTTATATCACTGTTTGGTTTTGCTACTTATCTGTACAGAGTGCATTATCTTTTCTATGTGCGTAGAACCTGATTTTCAGAGAGAACTGTTTGAGGGTGTAATAGGTTTTGCTGAATAGAAGCGCCCCCCCCCCCCCAAAAAAAAAACAAAAAAAACAAACCCCACAAAACCAAATCTGTATTTAAAAAATAATCTAGCTCGAACAATATGGAACACCAAACAGCTCTTTATTCAGTGGTCTTACTTCTTAATTCATAGTCCTTAATTCTTATTTCTTCATTTGTTGTATTTCGACAATTTGTGTACTGAAATTATCATCTGTATCTTACTAATTTTACAACTCCAACATTAGTCATTTAGATTTGTAAATTGAAGCTTTGTGTAATTTAACATAATGATAAAGTTTCTTTTGGAAAATCAAAAAATTACATTTACATTTCATCAGAAACATACAACGAAAATCAGTAGCTGCGCTATATGGTTCTTTGATAATATACGTTCTTCCTTGTTATTCAATAGAACTCTTTCTATAATTATAATTTAAAAAAATGCACTTACATTTTTGTAAATAATTTCGTAGTGAAGATGAATTATACTTAAATTGTTTCTGATGACAGAGGAGTGGAAGAATGGTGACATAATGGAATCGAGCGCCGTAGACGTGAACAATATTCAGATACGTAAGCCAGGATATTGACTAAAATTTTGAAAATTTCGTCAATGGGAGACCCCTCCCCTCCAGGTTGCCCAGTGTAAAAGCCACTGACCATAAGATTGACAATAAATTGATAACAATCAAATGACATAACTTTATTTATAAACTTGTTACAAATGACTCTGAAAAGCATTATGGTACACGATTCGTGTACCAATGGTAAAATGTTTATTTTATCTTAAATGTTGGATATCAGAAACCCATCTTTTCCCGGTAAGATCACATCATCAATGTTGATTTAAATAGACAAATAATGTGTGCCTTCAATGTCGAAGAATTTGGATGATATTGAGTTAGAGACTTAGCTACTTCAAGACCATGGCTCGCTAACCTGGGGGTTACGTGTTTTTTCCTGGTGTTGGCTGAGAATGTTCATCAGGATATAATTCCTCCTTGTTAGTGATGCAGGATAGAGGGGGCCTGGCAAGAGACGATGTAGACTATCGCTGTAATTCGATATAAGAGTAAGCTGTAGTGCTTATGGCGTATGCTCGTCTTTATTAGACCAGTCGGAGCAGAACAGAAGGACGTTAAACCCCACTTTTTTGCCAGAGGTTATCAAACTGATAGGAAAGCTGATCATTTCAAAAACTTGAAGGGATACTTTTGATTATCTGAAAATACACACATACGATTAATAAAAAAGTGACAATTTTTATTGCAAAGACAATATATATATGAAAATGTAAGCTGTGAGACAACACTGTTGAAAACTAGAGATTTTATTTAATAGTTAAAAATAGTTTTGGCTGGTTTATATAATCACAATTCTAAATAATATCAATCACAAAAAAATGACCTTAATATTTTTCACAAAACAGATTGCATAAAAATTACGAAATAAGAATAACACTTTTTTTCTTGTATTGCAAATTGAATACTAAAATAGCTCCTAAGGCATGTTATGAAAGATTTGCTCAGCAAAATAATTTGATTGAAATAAAGAACACAGAAAATTACAGCTATTCTGTCCATCTTTAACCCACAATCTAATCAACTGCTTATTTCAATCTGTCCTGAATAAAATACAGATCTATATTTCGTTTTGTTTTTATTATACCTTTGATGGCCTCTACTATCTAGTATCTCAAGACAAGTAAAAGGAAATTTTGAATTATAAAAAGACCAAACGAAATAGGATCTTTATTATTAATCAAAATGCTGGACAATTTAGAAGATATTGCTGTTTGACTGTCAGTGGGCGTTTCCAAGTTTAACTCCGTATAAATCTGATTGGTTGAATTAAAAATAAAATTGTGTGAATTAAAATTGGAAAGACGTGTTGTCTGTATATTACAAATTAAGTTGCATTCTCAACCTTTGTCATTCTATTAAATTTCCTTAATTGTGTCCCATAAATGAAGATGTTCATCAATTTATAGTTGATTAGAAAATATAAACAATAGGTTGTATAGAGCAATGAAGCCATTAATATACCAGTTAAACTGATGGAAGAAAAAATAAAAACAATACAATCTACAGCCAACAATAGAATTAATATGTACACATGTATATAATACGACAATGAACCAAGGAGATCATAATCAGAAAGCTGCAAAACCTAAATTATGTACTCTATGTCAAAACACAAAACATTTATTAAATAATGAAATTACTTGTTCTAATGTAGGCAGTAGGTGAAAAATCTGGATTTTTTTTTTTTGCTCACTTTACTCTTAATGAAGTCATCAGTAACATATCTGAGTAGGATTTTGTGAAAAAATTTTTTTTGCGTAGGACCGGTTTTGTTAAAAATTATTAAACAAGTGACTTTGGCCAATTTCCAAATATATAATACAAACAAAAAACTATATATCAATTGTTCAGTTTTGATTCTGATAATTATAATTAAATTAATATGCAACTTTTAAACACTCTACATGAGAAATTTTTTCAACCAAATGAGGTTTGTGAATAAAATAAAACATATAATGAGAATGTGTATAAGATAATTAGTTCTATCAAATGAAATTTAAATTCATTAGCACATGTGTAAATAAAATCATCATAAAACGACAAAACTCTACTAACAATGAACTGGGAGTACCTTTTTGCACCTAACAACAAAATTTATCATTACTGGCCATTTTGTAGTGTTAAACTAAGGGTGATAACTCCATTTAAGAGAATCTGACATTTCATAAGAATAAACACAACCAAAATCAAATTGATTAAAATTAAGCAAGGGTTTTATATCTTTACTAGAATCAGTTAAAAATAACAAATGTTATTAAAGAGAATCTGGATATTACAATAATCTAAAACATAAAATGAGCTTAAAGTATAATTTCCAAAATGTGGTTGACAACCCATGTTAATTTGAAGTATATAATTATATAAATTATGAAGCTATCAGTGACAGCAAAGACTATGTACAAATGGTTATACAATTTGATTTACTTCAAGACCATTACAGAAATAATACATGAATATATAAATAAAAAGACAATTAATAATACTGACTAACTAGTTATGCCTTATTTTAATAAATTTCTCGTATGGTGCAAAAGCTGCCTTTGTGCCATTTTATATGTTAAACAGATTAGTTTAAAATACATGTACAAAAAATTCAATAATAAAGCACTAAAACTTGATGGTAACAAGTGCTAAAGTGTTAAGTAAATGGCCAATCTTGAAATAAAATTGTATTAATTAATGATAAAGCTCTATCAAGACAACCTAAGAGGTAGAACTCATTGATTGTAATCGTATTTGGACTAATGTTTTTTGTAGCATTACAGGCATTAATCTACTTTATTTTAAGACTCTAGTCTTGATCTTTTAATTCTCGTCATTGGGGCTTTTTGTATTTTATAAAAATAAAAGTAAAAGATTACATTTTTTAACACTGTTTTCCGAACTGAGCACTCTGATTATGAAATTATATGAGTAATAAAGATCTCTCAAGTAGCACCTAAGTTAATAGTAATATCATACAATAGCTACAATGTATATTAAGCTTAATAATTATGCATAATGAATAAGTTGTGGGAACTATGACATCAATGTAATAAATAATATCATTAAACATGTACTAAATGGACATTTTGATTATTTTCAAGTTATCACTTACAGTATGAAGAATATATAGATGAAGCTCTTTCTGTATAAAAACTAGCCTGCTAGAAAAATGCAAAAACATTCTAGATTGTAAGAGTTTTGCAATAACAATATTTTTATCAATATGGTCAAATATTTCACATCATGGGTTTTACAATGTTACCTTAACCTTGGTTAAGTTGGCGGTATCCTTTTTCTTTGTATTATAATTTTGGCATTTGATTGCCTATTGGGATCACAATTTCTTCAAAGATTGTTGTAAATAGGTTCTCTTAGGTTAAAAGAGAATGTTATAAATCTGTTTACAAGGTATTTAGCATCAATTATCTATGACAACTCAATCCTTGAAGAGGGTAGCTACATGTAACATTCTAGTAAACCCATATGGATATATTCAGAATCTCATTTAAATGTCTGCAAGGTATTATAAGACTAGTACTACTAGTGCTGCCTAATGGTTAATATACAATAAAAAGAGATTTTGTGACTTTTTTTCCGTGGTTATCCATTACACAATGAGTCTATAAATAGAAAGAAAATGATACAAAATGTCCTAAAAACTTACAAACAATTTACTTTATAAGCAATCTAATAATAACATAATGATTCATAGTAAACTAACTAACATATAATTGATGATAAAAAAATGAGATTATATAATTAAGTCAATCTTTTATTATGAATAGACAATTTAAAATTAAATTGTCACATTGCACTTATTAAAGTAAAATCATCTTATAATGTAAACAATAAATATTTAGACAGTAAACAATCTAAACAAAGGTATTGAAAACTGTTTGCATACAACACATTGACAACTCAATTCCTCTGATACAAACACGAAAAAGAATATATGAAGAGGCTTCCAAAACACAATTACCACCATTCAGATCTTCCCTTATTCAAAATCATTATTTATTCCTTGCAGTTATCTCAGATATATAAAACAGCATTTAAAGTAGCAGGTGAAAATATATTTTAATAAATAAAACCAGTTAATTCTGTTTTGTTTAAACACTCTGTATTCAGTAAAACTGTTATCAAAGTCCTGTGTAAATATTATAAAGCTCTCTTGAAGAAATACAAACTTTAAGATTGAATGCAGGGTTGGTTGAGCCCAAAATTTACACGCCATGCATGTGCCTGGACAACCCTGTCTATATATTTGCCAAAGTTATTGTGATAAGTAATCATCATAATTACCAAGTCACTCATACAACAGAGCAAAATCACTTAAACGAGTTACGTTGTAAAGGTAATTTGGCTTTTTCTGCATATTTTGGATTTGGGCATTTGATTTGCATACTAAAAAGCTGCCTTTATTTGTGGCTTTCTGTGAAATCCATGACAGTCCTTTAAACTTCATTATTTAGCTGTTTGTGTATTTAAACTTAAAGAAAATCATCTGATTTTTACCGAAAATCTGAAATGGACATATAGTGTTTTGTAAGAGAACTCTCCATATGTACAGTACATGGCACCATTTTAATTTTTGGCTAACAATAAACTAATCTTACAGTGTAATGTAGCCACATGTACATGCACATCTCTATGAAGGCACATTGTTTGATTCCCTGTTCTTTGGTACAAATATAATATCAGGGACTAATTAATTAACACACAGTATGAATTCAGCTAAACTATTTGAACTTGAACATAAACTTGAGCTCTGTATCTTCAAACCCAAAGATATTAAAGGATAATGCCTTTTATTAAATGATTTTGAGTAAACATATTTTAAGGACCATGTCTTTTCAATGGTTAAGATTTCAAATCTTTTCTAAAATTTTAGTCAATGATTAGGAAAAACCCATGAAATGTCAATTTTTAAGTTTGGCAGAAACCAAGGGCCACACTTCAGAAATATTACTATGATAAGGTAAAATACAACTGTATTAAAGATGTTTACTTGTGAATAAATGTAAGAAGGTCGCAAACAAACAAATATTTGAAACTGAAAGTTTGAATAGAAGCTTATCCATAAAAACTGAGCATCTTAAAAAAAAAGACTGTAGGACGATCTTGGTCTACCATAACCTTCTGAAAACTGTAACTTCTTGTTGATTATCTTAGAACTAGATATACTGACCACCTCCGTATACAGGCCCTCTTCCCATGCTCCACTGGGGAACCTGAATATACAAGTTTTACTGTGAATAAAGTCTGTCAAGAGTTTAAATTAGTGTGGATATAAATATTATAGAACATGCTCTATAACTTCATGCTTTGGTTAATAATTATTATATCATTTGTATAATCTTACCCAAATATAACATCAAGCAACTATTTGAGTATTTAATTTAAACAAGCCAACAGTGAGGCTAATGTTCCACACTGAAACCATGAAATAAATAGATGACACATATTAATTAATTGCACGTTTATCTTTTTCAAAAGTATCGAGCAATCAAATCGATTATCAGATATACACTAAGTTTCATCACTCACTATCAGATAGAATCACAGTTCAAGAAATTGCTTAGCTTTAAGCAGTGGACACACTAACCGAATGATTCGGCGTCGAAATACGCCTAGTGTGCCCACTTTGCCAAAGCATTCTGTCAAATGTAGAATTCATTAGCCAATCACCACTCATATCGAGAAGTCACATGATTGTTTGAAGACATAGATGGTGCCATGTTTAATCATGTGATGTGAAAGGTGATGCAATCGACTGGTGAATAGGGCGAAGCATTTGGCTAGTGTGTCTGCCCATTTGGCCAAATAAAATTTGACGCCGAACGCACTAAGTTTGAACATTCTACCTCATTTAAAAGCAGAGCTGTTATGTTCCAAAGTCTTGACCAATCAAATTGCTTATCGCTCCTTAGTCTAAGCAGAAAATTTTCATCAACCTTAGTCAAGGTAATAATATGATGAATCGATACTGGGAGTTATTGTGTTTCAAAGTCTCGACCAATCAAATTGCTTATCGCTCTGCTTACTCTCAGCAGAAAATGTTCATCATCGAACTTAGTCATGGTATTAATGTGATGAAACTATACACCAAGTTTCATCACTCTCTCTTAGAGAGAGAGAGAAATGGGGTTAAACCTCCTCGTCCACTCGACACAAACTAGGTCATTTGGGGACCAACATATGGTTTAATTTTATTTCAATCATTCGCTTGCACATAGGGGTCTTTAGCAGTGGGAGGAAACCGGAGGACCCGGAGAAAACCCAAGAGGTTGGACAGACGACCCTACTCCTTGTCACGTACAACCGGGGATTCGAAACCACGCCAGTTGACTCAATGACAGACTTTATGATACAGCGCGCGCTAACCATTCGGACCCCCCCCCCCCCCCCCCGTCTATCTTAGAACTAAGGTTATTGTGTCCAAAAGCATTAACCAATCAAATTGCTTATCTCTGCTTACGCTAAGCAGAAAATGCTTATCTTCGAAATCCATCAAGGCATCGACCAAATAAACACCAACACCAAGTTTGAACTATAAGAAGGAGGGTTATTGTTTCCCAAAAAGTGTGACAGGCGGACAGACAGGCGAATCCATTTTAATATTCCCCTGCTTTCTTCGAAAGGCGGGGGACAAAAAGTGGACCGACTAGAAAATGACAACCATTGCAAAATCAACGGAAATTTACTCATTTATAAAATAATCCCCAATTGGCGCTAAAATAAAAATACGGAATTCTTGATCCTGTATGTTCAAAATATCAACACGCTCACCATTCTTGTCAAGAATGGTTTCTTAATGCAAATATGATTAACTGAGCATTTACCATGAACAGAATTAATGAAATGCATCCATGAGATTAAAACAAATTTCACAAAATGTGACAAAAAAAAAAAGAACTTCACAGAATAAATGTATAAGCACATAAATCCAGTGTAAAATGAAAAGATGTACGAATAGCACACACTAAATTGATGCCAGTCAATTAATAATCACTCTGTTAAAAACATTGAAACAAGTAACAAAAGAACAGTTAAAATCTACTGTACATAAAAAAAAATTATTTTTAATAGATGTGACAAACTTTCTAACTACATTTTCAAAATCAATAATTTTTAATACGATTGAAAACCCCTAGACAAAATTAACTTTGTTAGGTCCAGGGTATAAGGCATCATATGCTGGGGGATAAAACTGGCCTACTGGTACCTGTCCTTGCGGTCCCAGAGTTCCTTGGTGAGATGCTGGGTAGTTCCTCTGTGACATAGCATCACTGTTGATAGCATACTGTTGAAATCCACCTGGTATTCTCATATTTGGTGCCGATACCTCAGATGGTGTATGTGATGGCAAAACATGCATGGGATGATATTCGGGTACTGGGTGATTGCCAGGTAGTGGAGTAACTGTGTCATTTCTTGGAACAGCTGTATATGCCACACCTGCAATACATAGACAGTACAAGTTTTATAAATGCTATGCCTGTAAAAAGATAGGTTGCCAGGCAACGAAGGAGCTAAACCGTCCAGGCAGTCAACAAGAGTTGTGACATATTTTTACTTTCTTCAGTTCTGAAACTTTTATAATACACTAAAATCTGAATTAGAGTAACAACTCATTAAGTAATTATCTGAAAATCATTAGAAATTGTTTGGTTTTTATAAAGTTCTGTCCCATGCTAACATTTAGTATACGAACATTTAACATCATGGATTTAGCTGTTCAAGTTATCAAAATTCATTCAAAATCAATATACTTGTTCGTCTCAAGACCTTAAACTCTGTATCAATCTGAAGTCAATCGGATGATAACATAAGCCTCTAGAGCGTCTACAAGATATTTTGAAGTAATCAAGGGCCATAACTCAGACAGTAATTATCGGAAATCGTTGAAAATCAATAGGCTTCTTCGCCTCATGACCTTAAGCACCGTGTATGAATTTAAAATCAACCGAATATTAGTTTTGGCCTCTAGAGTCCACAAATTTTTTTGAAGTGATCAAGGTCCATAACTCTGGCAGTACATGTAATTACCGGAAATCGCTGAAAATCAATAGTCTTTTTTTGTCTCATGACCTTAAACACTGTGTATAAATTTAAAGTCAATCAGATATTAACTTTAGCCTCTAGAGCGTCCACACGATTTTTCAAAGTGATCAAGGACCATAACTCTGGCAGTAATTATCAGAAATCGCTGAAAATCAATAGACTTTTTCGTCTCATGACCTTAAGCACAGTGTATAATTTTAAAATCAACCGGATATTAACTTTAGCCTCTACCGCAAATTATCTCTCTCTCTCATGGTCATTTTTGTTGAATTATTGGTCTAGAATCAGGAAGAGGGATAAAAATTGACATTTTCTGCCAGGTTCTGGTGAATATTTATGGTTTAGTGTTCAAGTAGTCACTTCGTCTGTGATGAAGAGCACTCAGCCCAACAAGATTATGGGGAATAAATTGGAATTGGGCAAAGATACAAGTTAGACTCGAGTCAATGAAAGAATACATGGAGGTCTGATTCTTATGTTTCAAAAGCTTCAGCTTCCTTTATAGAAATATTTCTTTTGACATTCAAAAGTACATAACGTTTGGAATATATTTGTTGCTAAAAGATTTACACCTTGTGCAAAATATGAATTATACAAATATTAACATAGGTGCCATTATGAATAACATGTTCTTCTAATCGTTAAGACAATGTTTGGACGAGTGCTCTAGTTTGAGTGTGCTTACTATGCAACATGTGATGATAGCACTTACTGATAATCAAATGGGCAAATTGTGGTTTAAAGTTTATAACAATTAACTTACTTTATTAATTTATTGTGGGCTTATTATTATGCATTTCCCCCCCCCCCCCGGCCATTAGAAATATTGTTTCAGATATAAATAAGTATTGTGGGACAAACAGATGATTTAATCAATGATGAAGAGTGAAACAATTCTTGTCTCTTGATTATTTCATAATGAAAAACATTTTACAGATAAAACTTGTAAAATCACTGTAAAATTGACTAATGAACAAAAAACTTTTATAAATGAAAACATATTGCACAAACAGAAAGACCAAAGTTGTCATTTTATATACATAATTTTTATCAGTTAAAACTGTTGGTAATCAGGCTGTAGTCATAAGGTGTTATGTCACTAAGGTGCTCAAACCGTAACTATTGAACGATATAAACCACTATGAGCCAGGTTTGTGTATTTAATAGTCAAGCTTCTACTCAAGTAGTAACATATTGTACAGCTAGTTTCACACCTGCTAATTAATGACTAAGTATAATTCTAACCACCTTCTATATTAAAGATTAGTTTTAAATAATGATCCCTTGTATGATTAGTAAATGCCCTAGGTTCATTAGTATCAGGTTAACAGTGAATGTCAGTTACATTTGTGTACCAATGAAAAGTAATAAAATTTTTTCAAACTTACACAACTTACCAGTACCAGGGGGAGCTGAAGGTATTGTGGCATTATCACCGCCATTTTGGTTCGTACTCGAATTACGGGCACGTGCCTGATTCTTCTGATACATTACACACACTGTAATCATAACAACCAGAAACATGGCACCAACGACCGCACCACACACAATAGATATTATAGTAGATGATTCTTGTCTTTCTTCCAGATCTTTCCATCGCTCTTCCTGCCATCCTGACCGAGCTAAAATACATAGAAAAACAAATATTAGAGTACACAACAAAATAGATAAATAGTAAAATGATAGACAGTAATGTACACTGGAAGCAAGAAATTAATGGCCTTTTCGATTTGGGTCAAAAATAAATATCAGATTGTGATTAGTTTTGTAGTGTGACAATCTTTCATCATTGAAAATGTTACATACAGATAAAGCTAGTGTTAGGATATAAGTACAATGAATTGTGTGTTCTATTGTCCACACAAACGCCAAATATTAAAACGACAACCTCCACTTTTGAAGGAACAACTATTTAGTGATTTACATGTACATTGTATATCTCAAATGTCAAGATTGTGCACGGACTTAAAGGGACAATAACACTCTTGCTGGCTTGACAGCTCCAGAAAATAAATAATAGCCTTATTTTAAGTACTAGATGTTTAAGTGTCCTACCTGTTGTGTAAATTATCTATTAAATCCTATTTTACTTGTCCAGAGGGTTCGAAATTTTTTTAAATCCAAGTAACAATTGGAAAGGTTTACGTTCGACTTTTCAAATCATTTAGTTGAATTTTTCCAATTTTTTGAATTAGGTGTGTTAAGATGAAATTTGTATCACCAATTAATTAAAATATTGTAAAATAGTACAATTTGTTGACCAGAATAAAGATTGGGACATACAAATGTATTATTCAGTTACAACAAGAGTGGTATTGAGACTTTAATATTGAAATTAATTAATCATTATTCTGGAATATTATAAAAATTGTTTTAGTAATTCACTTTTTACATGAGCAACTATAATTCCAAATAGCATTTCAGATGGCAATATCTTGTCAATAAATTAATTTATATCAATCTCAAACTTTCACAAATCACATGACACATCTACTAATTTGGAAGATCAATTTTACACTTACATTCGGGGAATTTATTGGTTGCTTTTAATGCAAACTGTACATCTGAAGCCTTCTGTGATCCTCTTGTGATTGTTATAACTAGTGTGTCACCCTTCGAACAAACTTCTTTTTCTGGTGGACTATCATCACATAGGAAATACATAGCATCATTAGTCTGTTTACTAGCTATACCCATTAATGACAGTGCTGAATCACATTTATCAGAGATTTTAAGAGAGTCAAAACGCACACATATCTTGCTAAACTCACTGGTCTTCGATGATTTAGCTAATGATAGAGTCACAGTGCAAATTCTTTCTAAATTTCCTGATGATTTGGTGGACGGTTGAGCTTCTATAACAACAGGCTGTACAAATTCTAAATCTAAAGATTTACCACAATTTGTTTCCATGTAATCTGTAAGAGATACAGACATGTACATTAAATTTTTATACAAATATATCACTTTTTCAAAAGCGAAGAGTGTGGAAATTCTGCTACTCTGTATTGTATTGTTATTATACTGTAACTAATACTATAAATATATTGTCAGCCAGTACTGCAGAACATGAAGCTTAATGTCCATTGGCTGCTTTGCTTTAAATGAACATGTGTCAACATCTAAATGCAATTAAAAGGGTACTGACCATCTAAGAAATTCAGCTTTACAAAATACATACATGTAGACAAATTTTTATTAATGTCCTGTTGCGCCATTTAGCACTATAGGGATTCCATGCCAACGGTGACCCCATATTCTTCTCTGGAGAGCATGCGCAATAAATACTATCCGTGTAGACTGGAATAACCAGACGATTTAGACTTCTGGCGTATTTCGCAGAACATAATTGTTTTGAAATTAGAGTAAAAACGGAAACGATTGAATGTAAATCAGTTTTCTTACATTCATATTACATTATTATACGTTGCGATCCATTTGTGTCAATTTGTAGGTCCCAAATATTAACGATTTAGCTCCTTTAAAGTAACAAGTCTAGCTGAAGTATTCTGTACTTTTTGTAATTTATCTATAAGCTTTAAAGGTAAACCAACTAAAGGTGAATCAAAGTTATCTAATCGAGAAGTGACCAGAGAATTAACAAGTGACTTCGTGACCGCTACACTACAGTTACAAATTTACATATTTTACCTATATTTCTGATATTAAATAAAATAGCACAATTTACAGATATTATTTTTTATTATTTACTTGAGCTCCCATAAGCATAAAACAACCAAAGAGTGCGCCAATATTACGAGCAGCATAAGATGGAAATAAAGTACAATTACCAATTACAACATAGGGGGTTATCATGTGCAAATTTACTTAATTGATGCCTTGAGCAATAACAAATATTCGGATTTATCATCATTCAATTTTAGTAAGTTCTTTGACATCGACATCCATTTTCTAATTTCACTAATACAGTTCTCAAGTTGCAATTTTGAAAGATGGACAATTAAGTGTAAATGTAATATATAATTGAGTATCATCGGCATACAAATCGAAGCTGGGACCATATTTTCTGACAATATCACCTAATGCTGACGTACAAAGGGTAAATAAAATTGGACCAAGAACGGAACCTTGAAGAACCCCAGATGACAAAACAGATTCAGACAATGATTTACAATTAACTAAAATACAGTTTTCTACCCACAAGACAGCTTTCTAAAAGATTTAAATGCAGAGTCACAAATAACGAATTTAAAATGAAGTCTACATAAAAGAATAGAATGATCCACTGTGTCGAAAGCCGCAGTAAATCCAACTGAATCCAAACCGGGACATTATCCAGTGTCGGTATTTAAGGTTTTTAATATTTGATACATAAATTTTGACATAGTCTGAGACAAGGTAAATAGCTACGGTTCTTTAGATTTTTGACGAATCTTCCCAGATATTATGTGCCAAATTTTGAAAATTAAAATTTTGACAAAAAACTTTTTTATTACCGGTAATGAAAATTTTTTTATGGCGTTTTACCCAGAATTAAAGGGTCATGTGATTTGTGGAAAAATATGAACAATTTTTGTCTCAATAATTTTCCTTGGGGCTATTGGCTATTAAGTTTATGGGTTTTAGGTTAATTATTTATTGCTCGATTTGTACGAAACAAAGTTCATATGGTCAATGGTGCAAATTCTCAACTTTTTTATTACCGATAAAGTTTACTGTCGATACTGGAAAAGACATAATTTTGACAAAAACTACAATTTTGGTGGTTAGGAATGTCTTTTCGCAAGCAAATATTAATTATTACAAATCTGATAGCGAAAAATGCCAATGGTGCAACATTACTTTAATTTAAATCACAACTTACAAAGTGAGCATTTACAAGATTAAAACTGTAAGACCCTATGAAATATGTTTTATTTGACTGATATTGAATAATGAACCATGGGCATGGTACCAAAAATCAAGTTTGATGAATGGCGTTGAAAACTATCCAAGACCAATGTTAAATAATGTGTGTGTCACTGTGTGATCATTTAATATTAACAATGGAATTCTTCATCTACTTACATGTCATAACATCTTTACATAAAGACATATTACATAACATAAATATAATAACACCGCTCAATACTGTTGATATAGTCTTCATCTTGATTTTTATATCAACTTGATATCTTCTTCCACCCCTTTTACATCTACAATAGATAGATCAAGGAATAAACCAAAATATTAAAACAAATAGCAAGTTTTTCAAAAACACGAGGTCAGTAACGAACAAAAGAGTGTGTTCAAAGCCAAGGACATAATTCAATGCATAGCACATCTGATTATACTTTCAGACGTTTGTTCAATTTTTTTTTTTAAATTTTACTTTGTTCGCTCGACTATGCTCGGAGTCTGAGTCAAATTGAAAATGTTGGAACCGTGTAAATCGGTATTTGCAACAAAATGGATAAAAACAGATACAATGCGAGCTTAAAATGCAAGAATGAGAAATCAAGCATTTGCAAAAGCTTTCAATGTATTAAAACACTACGTAATATCTGCATTTTAATACTAAAACCTCTACAAACCAAGCTGCCGTTGTTCTTCTCTGTTTTGTTAATTGGTCTGCACTTCCATTTTGAAACCTTTCCGCCACCTATAAAACAGGGGCAGGTAAATCGTGATGGATTTTAGTCATGTTCGTCTGGTCTCAGAATTTTCATTATTTTTATTCAGAAGAATGCTGGATAACCGAGTATTCGGCAGATGTTCCCGCAAACGGAATTCTGCATACTGTAGATCATGAAAATAATCTGAAATGTTTACCTAGCACCACTTCAAGCATGAAAACCGAAACCCATTTAGAACGGCCCATTAAAGCACTGACTTCAAGAAATGAAGATATCTATACTAAAGACAGATGTACTAAACAAATGTATAGTAGGCCTATATATTACCGTTTGACAAAATGAGAGAAAAAAAAGGCGCACTTTGAAGTTTTATTGTGTGCATAACGAAAAACTCGTATGCAAGATTCATTACGTAAAAGCCTGGGCTTAATTTTTACGCCACCCCGAGAAGAACATAAAACTTATTTTAAAAGAAAGAAATGACGACTGTCCCAGACTTTACTGGACAATAAAAGCATCATATCGATAATCATTCGAGACAGAGATTTCGAAAATAATTAGACCAGTTAAAAGAGAAGACAAGACAAAGCTAGACCCTTAGGAATAATATGGACTGATAAAAAAAAATGTCTCCAAAGTAGCCCACCACTGATTATCAAAAAAGGTACCCTGATTGTTGGGAATGGAATTTGGGAGGTGGGATGGGGGGGGGGGGGGACCTATGAAATAGGCTACCGTGCTAGCGCAATAAGGAAGATATATCACATGTTTACGTACTGAGTGACAATCATTGCTTTTAATAAGAACATTACATAACATTTTCATTATTTATTTTATTAACACAAAGTTCACAATGAAAGTGTGACAACAGGCAACTATAAATCTTTGACATAATATAAAGATCACAGATATACAAATAAACAATATGCATTTAATTCTTCTTTAGTTTGTATCCACACTTAAATTCCGATCACACAATCTTAACCTACACAGTCACTGATTTTAACATTCTTGTTTGAACATTTCCCTGGCCGCAAATTCTCAACCGGCATACAGTACCTCCTGATAAAAACAGTCTGGGTGCGTGAGTCCCAGCTGCAAAATAATTTGCACTACGTATAATATATATTGATAGAAGTAGTGTTATTATGAATATTGATAGACACATATTCATGGTTAATTATACAAATCAGGTAACGGTGTCACATTCCTTTGTGTGCCTTATACACAACTTGGACAGTTTTAAATAGCATATATTTATTCCCCTATGGAAGCAATTAGTGACTTGGAACCGCGGTGATTCAGTGAGTAATACCCTGACTTGCTAACCAGGATGTCTCTAGATTCCCCTTGTCAACGGTTGGGGACGGATGACCTGGCAAGGATACTGTCTAGTTGTTCGGATGGCACGAAAACCCGAGGTCCCGTATACACGTAAAAGAACCCCTGACAGTTAGAATTCGGCTGTCCGGGCTTAATTTCTCTCATATAGCACACTGCTTGGTGTATGTCCGTCTTCATTAGCCCAGTTGATACAGAAAAGTAGAATGTTAAACACCCCTTTATTGAATTTCATTTATATTAGAAATTTAATTGTAACTAGCGTAAAAGTCTCAATAACTCTTAATAAAATACTATACAAACAAGATAATTACTTCTCTTTCTGAGACCTTTCAATCACACAGATGTACCGCCATAATGAGCCTATTGTTATATACATTTATCAAATCGAATTTTGTTACGTTGGAATTAACCGAGGATACCAACAAGAGTAAATTAATACACACAGGAAATACTAACTACATGTATATGTTACGCATACGTAATCAAAGATATGCCGAGTGAGTGGCGTTCAATATTTAATTTTAAAACCTCAAAATAAGCGAGGTCTGCTATACCACGTGGGAGAAAGCCGCTGCAACACTATCTATACTGATCGTCATGTGCATTTTTTCGGACAATATCTGACTCTAAACCTCGCTAAAATGCCTATTTAATATTTAATTAAATATCTCTCAAATGATGATCAGATACTTTAAAACTCGTTATGTCGAATTGAAGCGAAATGCGATTATAGAACCACGCAACAATCAAGGTCTGACGAGGGCTATTCTTTCACACAAATGGCATGCAGAAGGAATTATAAGCGATAGCCGTCTAATTTCTTTATAAATGATTTACAGCTAGAACTGCCCATTAAAATATCACGATTTCTAACCCGATTAAAAGACATCCCTTGCTTTGAACGTTAACATTACAAAACACATTATATTACATTTTGCTCAGTGTCCACCTTCTCAGGGGGTGTTGCACCTTCATAGGCTGAAAAAAAAAGATTTGAATTATAGCGATTTCCGATATTGAGAAAACGAAAAATGTCAAGGAAATGCTAAACAAGTCAGACCTTTGACACAAAACTGACAGTTCAAAATAAGTACTCCATATATTTGAATGTAGAGGCTATTGTTATTATGTAATTAAGCAACCACAAGTATTAAAACATCTTTATGAAGAATGGACTGGCTGATGGTAACATAAAGTTAGAATTTGTGTGAAAGATGGCTATGTGAAATCAACAGAAACCCGTGTAAAATTGAAATGCCCAAAATGTGAGTTACAATTCTCGATTTGAATAATATTTTGACCAAATTAGAGTTTTTTGTTTTTAGTAAAAGTGCATTTTATAGTGTAAGGTCTTGAGTTCTGCTGGAACTTTAAATAAATGAATGAAGTGTTATTTTGTGACAAAGAAGATTAAATGTTCGTGACAGATGACAGAGACCCCAAAACCAATCCACCGAACTAAGGACCCACAGCTTGTTTCAATTTACACGACTTTTCTTTCATATATATATACTCTTCAAAAAAAGAATGAGGAATATTCAGAAACAATACAAAACTGCGGAAATGCACTGTTGTTTTTATTAGAGGGAACCAGTGTATGTTAATAACAGGCCAATTGCCTACACATGAACATAAACAGTTCATATGGGCGGCTTATCTGACGGCCCCATTTCACTCGCAAAAAGATACACTGTCAAAAGTGAAAATGGACGTTTTTGATTTTTGTCTTAATAATGAGTAATTGCTCCACCAATCCTCAGACATTCAGCAATTCGTCGTGGCATGCTCCTAATCAACCATCCAATCACGATTTGGGGCAATCTGACCCACTCCTCTTGCAGTGCCACGGCCAATTCTTGCAGTGTTATCGGTTGACGTTGAAATCGACGAACACGTCTCCCGATCATGTCTCAGACATGCTCTATAGGGGAAAGGTCAGGACTCATGGCTGGCCAAGGCATATGGACAATATGGTGACGCTGGAGGTTGTCATTCACGACACGAGATGTGTAGCGGAATTAAAACGTAATGTTTTTACCAAGCTCTAAGAAAGGCATCATCTAAATCGACGTCAACTCATTTCTCGCCAATTTTACCTCCCGCCCCCACCCCGCCCCTCAAAACATGTACACCTGCTATCCCCACCCCCACCGCCGCACAAATCAAAAAAGTTGTCCAGAGGCATCATATACACTTCCATAGAGATGGGCAATCTAGAAATTTATTTTTTATTAAATAATATGACCATCATTTATGTCAACATAATGACCCCCCCCCCCCTCCCCGCACAACCACCATCACCTCCACGGTCACCCACGCCGGCGCCTACCCCCACGCAATGGGAATGTTATAAACATATTTAGAGATGTTTCATCAAGCTCAAAGAAAATCATCATTTAAAACAAAACAACGTTCCGGGAAGAATATGTAAATTAATGTCATGTTATGCATTATATACTTTTAACCCTTGGTTGTACATTACGTTATATTATTTATAATCGATTGTCATGGAAATCTATTGTTCTAAGAATGTATATGGATATGTATGATATTTCCAACATTTTGTATAGATTATAAATATCCGAAGACGCCTACAGAGAGCACACAGCTAGCTTATAAGACTTAATGTATGTCAGAATGAAGTAAAGTGGAGAAATTTTTATCTGGACGTATTTATGCATTTATCTACCGTAAACAAAGAAGTACTACTTGTACTTTTCTACTACATATATTATAGTACACGTCTATTCTTAAGAAACGTACAATTTATTGGTTGGTTACAACGAAAAATATATCACTTTTACTTTAATACTTACTGTTTGGAATAGTTAGAACGGCACTCCTGCTAGGGATGTACAGAATACTATGTATGTCCCATTGACGTATGGATCTGATAGGATTGCGATGAAGAAAAGAAACCAATGCCATAGAAAGTGCAACAACAGTATTCACTACAGATACGATGACGATTAATCCACGTACAATAGATAATCCGACCAGCTCACTCTTAACCTGTTCTTCTCTTTCCCAATCTGTAAAATGACGAATATTTTTGTAAAGGACACGCTGGTATGTTCCCTTTGCAATTATATGCATGAATGAAATGGGGCAAAACGTCCCATTTTCTGCTGCAACCGGGTTAATAAGGACGGACTTACGTCATGTAGTGTGCACGACACGGTGGCACGAAACTTTTTTTTTGTCCCATACACTATTCCTTGCCAGATACTCCGCCCCACACAAGTGACAAGGGGAAACATCGGGCAATCCTGAGAAACGTACTCTGCCAACACTTGAGTAGAACCCAGGATTTCCAGGTAAGCGAGCCAGCGCCATTGTCTTGTTACTCACTGAGTCACCACGGTTCAGCATTCTTCAAAAAGTTATTTTCCGCGATGAGAATACAGAAAAAAGTATATTTTTAAAATAAAAAAGTACAAAATTAAACATGTTTTTTATAAAGAAAAAATTGATGTAACGTTATTATTGGACTTATTTGATATTCGCAAACAAACGTTGTTTTGGCGTTTGGCAATGGGGCCCCACAAATATTTTTGTCTATAACCTAGTCTTTTAATCTTGATATTTCCATATGGTTATGAGAATACTCTGCACGAGACATAAAAATATATGGTCAAGTGCAAGATCCTTGTATACGCCCAATGTCCAATGCATTTCCTGAGTTATACTATATTATTTTGTTTATTTTTCCAATAATATTCATATTGTTTACTTATTAAATAATATATTAAACCCTTTAGTGTATCCAGATGTTAAATATTTTAAATATTTATCATTCGATATCCCCATAAATAATCCAATGCCTTAAATATTAATAATGTTAACACCTTGTCATGAACACTATACATAAAGCATCTTGTTAATACAAATATTGCTTGAGGATGAATTATATCTGTAAATATTTGTTTACTGACAAAATATATTAAAGCATTTAACAAATTAAACATACACACAGTTAAAGATAATATATTTCTTAAAACTATATGGAATTGTAGCGTCTTCGTGCTAATATATATTTAGGTGTTCAGCATGGCTGTTTGGTACATAAAGATGGTTCATGAACCGCTCATCTCATTAATACTTACACGGCTGTCTTTTACTCTGCACTGTAATAGCAAAGTCGGCATTCGTAGCTGATTTACGGGTGAGCTGTATGGTAAGCTGTTTATCGAAAGAACAGAATTCCATCTTCTCATTTATCTGTGTCATACAGTTGAATGTCTACAATAAACATAGCAGAAATACCGATATTAATGGAGTTGAAAATGGTTTGTTAAAAGGCTTGCATCAAGCGGAAAGATAACTTATTTGTGGTCAGGCTTGTGCAGTCGGATAAAAATAGCTTAAAATAAAATTGCCTTTTCTTGACCTATTAAGAAGTCAGAATTTAAATAGAATTTGCCATTCGTTGTCCAAAAAGTCTGAACTTAAACTGAAATTGAAATTTATCGGCCTATTAAAATCTGTTATTCATGATTAACGTCCATCAATATTATGACTGAATAGCCGAGGATCGTATTCCAAAAGTAATGTTGATATATATGTAAAAACTAATCAATAATAACACTAATCAGCCTTCGAGAGTTTGGATGACTAAAAAGTTAACATTTTAACAGTATTATGTCTATGTTATAAGCATACGTCACAATTTAAAAAAAATCTTCCGTGTTGTTGTTATCAATTGCAACGCCCGTTTAATCATTAAAAGTTATATGTAGTCAAATTAAAGAGAGTGTCTATGGAAAACTTGTAGACTATGTCTGATATCATTGAAAATAATAAAATACAGCGAGAAGCTCTGCTACTTCCCTTTATTGAAAACTTTGGTAACACGATAGCGGCTGCATTTTTAACGAATTTATAACAACTTTGGAGCGATGTAATAGGGTAGTGAGAAGACGAATCCTATCGATATTCTGCATTCCATGACCTTCTGTTCCAGAGTAACCCCCGATTTTTCATGTGGAAGTTGTCGTCGCCCCTGTCCGTCCATCTGTCTGTCCGTCCACAATCAGGTTGTGGACACTCAACAGGTCACAATTTTTATCCGATTTTGACGAAACTTGAAATATAGATCTATCTCCCAAAGATCTTGGTTCCTTTCGATTTTGGCATGTATCGGACCATAACTTCATTGATAAATGGCCCCTGATTGTACGATAAATTACGTGTTTAGCTTGTGGAGACTCTAGTGGTCACAATTTTCATCTGATTTTGATGAAACTTAAAATAAATATTTATAACCCAACGATCTTGGTTACTTTCGATATTTGCGCATATCGGATCGTAACTTCCTGAATTGTGGTCCCTCTAGCGGCCACAATTATTATCCGATTTAACACAACGTTTGAATATTTCACCGTTACACTGTAATGAGGCTTGGGTTCGAATTCCGTGAAAATCGGACCAAAACTGCCAGACAAAATGGCCGCCCCTGGTACACAAATAGTGTAAAAATATGGTATATCAAGGTTGTGGACCCTATACGGGTCATAATTTTGATCCAATTTTGATGAAACTTGAAATTCATGTTTATAACTCAAAGATCATGGTTCATTTCGATATTCGCGCATATCAGATTTTAACTTCCTGAATTATGGCCCTTGATTGTACGAAAAATCGCGTTTTTAGATTGTGGTCCCACTAGAGGTCACAATTTTTATCCGATTTAAAAAATACGTTTGAATATATCACCGTTATACCCTAATGACTGCTGAGTGAGAATTTCGTCAAAATCGGAACAAAACTGTCAGACAAAATCGCCGCCCCTAGTATGCAAATAGTGTAAATATATGGTATATCAATGTTGTGGACCCTCTAGAAGTCACAATGTTGATCTGATTTTGATGAGACTTATTTACGTCCCGAGTTATCACCCTTTTTCAAAAACCTAGTGAACACGATAAAGGCTACAGTTTTCAAATTTGGTCAACATCCATGTTTTCCTTTCGGATAAGCTGCTGTCTATGACGATAATTATTGTTTTCGAGACAAATTTGCTGTGAAATCGCTCAGTAATAAACAGTAATCGTATTCCACAGAATTGTATGCTGTGTATCTCCATTTCAATTACTAAATATCATTCAACACAAACCAGTTATACGCTTCATATTACATACCTCATTTTGATTCCAGTATGGTACCATTAAATCAGTAGCGGTTATTTCTGTCTCACAATCATCTTCAGATATAAATTTATCAAATTTGAAACAAACTTGTTCATATTCTCCCACAGCTGTCGTTATTACAGTGATGTCACACATTTCTGGCATCTCTTTATTAACATGTGGTCGACGGTGTGACAGCAAACGAATGCTTTCACCTTGATCGAGGCTATGTTGAACTCCACAAGAAAGTTCGGAATCCATGTACAGGTAGGCTTGAAAAAATACATCAATAGGCATTATCACTTTCACAAATAAATTATATATGGAAGTATTTTTTCCTCACAAAGCAGGTTAATTAGATAGGAGAATTTAAGAAAAGAAGTGGGGTGATTGAAAAGAACATCTCTAGATGTTTGGTGCCATTGGTGATTAACCGATATGGAAAACTGGGTTACGTAACATATTTAAGGAATTTCATTCTTCAATTATGAGTGACTTGATAATTTCAACTTCGGCTAGTAAGTGGTATAATTATAGACATCGTTATCCAGGCACTTAAACAGCATTGTATTGGGAGACTTATAATCAACCCAACATATACACTGAAAGTTTGTATTTCTTTCAAAAAGAAATGGCATTATAGCGAGAAACACATTGGATTGTACACAATAGGGTCGGAGCATAAATTGTAAGAATTTCTAAAGTACCATGTGTTAAAGTTTGATTATTGAAGACAATTTATTCTGACTTGCACAGAATCAGTCATTCTTTAACATTCAGCGTGATCTTTGCAAAGGTGCATCTTTTTGTTTCTCATGCAATGTCCATGGAACTAAAATCTTTACAAATGAATTCTACTTACATACTTTCCTAATATGATGTAAGGGGACTGATTCAGCTTTGATCAGGAAATTAAATTTAGGTCCTGTAGACGGCAAGGCATTTCTTTGGGGATGTCGTGCTTTTACAGTTATTGTCATTACTCTTTCTTCCGTACACCACTCTGATGTTATATCCCGACCACATCGGAATTTCTACAATAAAACACATTCTATTATATCTCACATAATGAAAGGAGGTTTAACATCTCGTCGACGCTTAACTTTGGTCATTTTGAGACAGGCACAAAGATAAATTTACCAGGACAGTGGCGTTTCCGCTTACCCGTCACCGGATTCCAAAAGTGAATTAAACATCTACACTTGCGTCCAGTACCTAACGGGTCGAGTCCTAAGAATTATGAAACAACTTGTTAAAGGAAATATATGGTTTTCAACTGAAAGAAACAAAATGCAATACATTTTGTAGAACACATTTGATATAAACCGTATGATCTTTCTAGAATATAGCGTTTTGCAAGAGTGTGTGATAAGCGTGTGAATATGTCAATGTGCTCGAATCTTAATGAATCTTAACTCGTGTATATCTCAGCTATGGATTGGCACTCAATTTACTTTGAAACCGCCTATGTAACCGTATACCCATAGTCAAATCGCAAAAATGTTTTTTTCCGACCAGCAAAGATGTTCGAAGCGTTAAATTCCCCTCTTTAAGTTAAGGTGATCATTTGAATTGAATCCCAGGACTAATCAAGGTAATTGTTACATATGCAAATGTAGGGAATACGTTTGCATATGAAATATTAATTTAGGGACATCTGGCACAGTTCATACATGAACCTTTCTGCACCCTAAACAAAGAATAAACACCAGCAGTTTTTTTTACCTTGTCTGGTTCATACTGGTTGGTTGAAAAGAATATTTCCACATCACAGGATATGTTCATATGTAATACAGATAGACATAGACCATGCCCTAACAGTCCAGTCATAATAGAAACACGACATTCTTCATGACGTCCATTCATCTGAAAATTGGCATTATCTACAGGCAGTGAGTCGAGGTACAGGTTCTCGTAATGGTCTACATTGAGGAAAGCTGCTGGACATCGTTTTGTTATCCCAACAGACACTGAAAAATACACACACAATAACAATGCAGGTTTACCCTTTAGACCTGTCCATTGTCTCAAGCGATAAATTAGAAGAACCGGGTAATATAGAAACATCACAAATTGTACATGGGTGTATTACTAAAAATCTGTCAAATGTTTTTTATACCCGAGTTTTTGATTTGATGGTCTGCGGGCGGTTGGGTTGGGGTGGCGCCATCAAAACAATTTGACCGCAAATATAAATGTGCCCTTTTAAAATTTCGCTTGTCGTTTATATAATAATATTAAAGCGAATGAAACTAACTAACCTAGACTTTTACATTCAATGAAAGTAAGCAAAATAGAAGTAACATTTCAAATATAAAAACTTACGAGTTTTGTTTACAGCAGAAATTGGACAGATGAGACAGAGAGAAATGACCAAATTCAGTAATAATTCATCCATGGTTTAAAAGATTAATCCCGTAAAACCACACTATATATATAAATACTTTTACGATATTAATTTATCCAACACAAAATTTCTCCACAATTTCTCCAGTTTGGTGGTCTCAAATGATAAAAATGTTGTTTTATCAGGTTAACGTTGTGCGGGTCTCCAGTTGACTAATAGAACTGATCAAAAGCCTGGTTTTGATGTGAAATTTGCCTTGGAATATGGTTAGTGTAATTAGCTACTCTCTTGTTTTCATGTAACCATAATGAAGAATTGATAGATTTATTATCGTTTGGACAAGAGCAAATCAGTGTCACTTTTGATAAGGGAGTCGGAAAATCAATAATCTAATGCATAATAAACATTTGTTTAAATTGGCGGATCACTTCTGATTGACTTTTGGTCTGAAACTCAGAAACTGTGTCTGCTTGTGATCGACAGTCAGAATAAATAGATGAAATTCCTCGATAAACTTTTACAGTAGACGTTAAATTCGGTTGTTGATTATTCCTTCATCTGTCCATCTATGTCACCAGTAGAATAATATCGATATACATGTACCTCCATTTACATAATACAGAATGTTATATATTCAAGATTAAAGGGACATTGGTCCAGCGTGGTGCATCGATTTTCATTTCTTTTCTTTTTTAGGTTCGTGTTTCTTTGTTTTGTTTTTTTGTGTAGTTTTGTATTTTGTTTCAAGGGACAAAGGTCCAGCGTCGTCCATAGATTTTCATTTCTTTTTTTTTGTAGATTTGGGTATTATTGTTTGTTTGTTGCTATTATTTCCTTGTGTAGTTTTGTATTTCGTATAATGTGGGCCCTTCATCTGTCATAATCAGCCATCGATGCAAGTATCGTGGTTTCCTTTACATACGTGACAAGTGTCCCCTCAATAAAAGCGAAATACTGAAATGACCTCTCCACACCCCCATACCCCACTCTCGCGTATAAGTCACAAACTAAAAAAAATGTACTATTTTAGTTAAACTATTGTTATTACATACAGTTTTATAAGTTCTTGAAATGTGTGAAATAATATGAATGTAGTCTAATATAACGTTTCGATCACAAACCCTTCTTCGTGTAAAATAAACCCCAAAATATTTTAAAAAGGTTTCAAATCGATAGAAAGCTTCACTGATTGCAGCTGATGAGATTTCCAGTAAAATTCATTTGAGTTGAATACGGTCTTAGAAGCTGTTTGGGATTTTTGTTTCTGTTCGGTTCTGGATATGACGAAAACAAATTGACCACAAGTACATTTTTTAAAAATTATTTGTCGGAAAACTATCTAATTCTATTATCTCTGGTGATTATATGAAAGCTTTGTGTAATTTGGGAACGTCCAGTTGAACAAAAGATATACATTCAAAGGCTAGGAAGATAATATCTTATCACACATATATAAAACAATTTATCTATGACGTCAGAGTATCCGGGAACAACATAATATCCCCCATGGCTTTATGTTTGCTCAATTTCCAAGAAAAACAACTTTTTGTGGGCGACGTATGACCAACAACTTCCTGGTTTATGACACGTGAAGGATAACCAATCAGAAAACACGTACCATCCATATAAATGTCAACGATTTTTTGGTATGTTTACACCGTAAAAACATACCACACTATTATCGTACTGTTCACAGCTAGTTGCACAGGTGAGTTGACATGTTATCTACCTTATACTTTTATCAGTATACGAAATGATCATTAATTTTATTAACGTTACAATGGACTTATTTTATGGGATTAATTGAACCTCGGTATAGTATCACTGATTTTTCTAACCGCAATTATTTACAGAATTAGTCAGTCATAGTCATGATGTATTAATGAATAAAAGAAAATCGATAATAATGATTTTGCACTATTTCCTTTTATTTTATGATCAGTAGTGGAATACCGCGTTTTATCAGTGAAATAAAAGTGTTATTCCACTGGCCAGCAGTAGTCCATGTTGTTTTTACCTAAAATGATTGTAAAATCATAAAATAAATAGAACATTTGTCGTTTTGTCGTGAATAACATATTTTATTTCATCTCTAAGCAGGAAAACGTTTATATTTTCACTCATGCTACGCATTCGTGAAAATATAAGTTTTCTTGCTTCTCGATGAAATAAAATATGTTATTCACTCTAAAACGACAAATATCCTCTATACATCTGTGGGAAAAAAAAGAAACAGCGAGTCTTTCACAGTAGTAATTCTTACCATAATGACAATATCACATTTCTTATAATAATTTTATTTATTAAGATAATAAATAACATTTCTTGAGCTCTATTTATCTTTTATAACCATCCATTTGTGCTGAAATAAAATATTAGACTATTATTCGAAATACTGTAAAAAAAATATATATATATATATTTTTGCTGTCCAGAATACCTAATTACCCTAATTTTCACTCGTAGTTCCCCGCCCCGTGTTTTTATGGACTCATTGTTACAAAGGTGAAAATAACAGGAAGGTCCTTGGAGTACTTATATCCGGGTCTATGTAAATAATATACCTGTTACAACATGTATTTAGGTATAAGTAAATAACGCGCAGATAATACACGGATATTAGTCATTGACCATACCCGTTCAATATCCTGGATAGAAAATCAATATTTCTACTGTTATCAAAGAAATAATGCCTGAGGCCTATTTATAAACGTTTGATACTGAATATTTAATAGTTCACGATATGCCAGATCTATAAGGGCCACTTTAAGAAAGAACGCTATTATAGAGTTATAAAAAATGAAATGGGGTTTAACGCTTTATTGTGCTGCCCCTACCTGACTAATAAAGACTGGCATACGCCATGCAGTGTGCTATGATTGAACTAATGCTAAGACAGCGGCGCTGTGGCATACTCTTATTTCGAGTTCCAACTGTCAAGAGTTATTTTAACTGCACGCCAATGTGTAAACGGGACCTCGGTTTTCCGTCCCACCCGAACGGCTGACAAGGGGGAACCACGCCGAAAATCCCGATAACGTTTCTCGGTCAACGCAGGGATCGAACACGGGACCTCCGGGTTAGCGAGCTAACGTCCTACTCACCAATCCACTGTGGCTCCCATATAGAGTTATATATTTGACAAGAAAAGTATTAATCCAAAGAATAAAGTAAAATGCCATGGTTATACACCGAACAATGTAAACAACTAAGATTAAAAATCCTGAAAATCAATTTCTGTTTATAAAAGTTGTATTTCTCAGATATCAAGTATAAACGCAGGCAAAAAACTACGCTTTTATACTGCCAATTGGATGGAATCATCTAAATAAGAAACCGTTTTAAAATATATAATTGTAATTAGAAGAACTAATGGCATTAAAAGTGGTCGTTGAGTCATTGTGTAGCAATTTCTCTAGTACAATGTCTACAGAGAGAGAGAGAAATGGGGTTTAACGTCCACTCGACACAAACTAGGTCATTTCGGGACTAACATATGGTTTAATTTTATTTACATAATTCGCTTGCACGTATGGGTCTTTAGCAGTGGGAGGAAACCGGACAATGTCTATAACACACGCCCGCATAGTACAAATATTGTAATTTATGACATACCGTAATACCATCCCTTATACCGGATGAATAGGATACAAGATCCTGGACGATATCTAGAGCGGAACAAACATAAGACGACTTGGTCATTACTAAATATCCGTTATAAGTACGAACAAGTGGTTTGAGGTCACTTGTCATTACTACCTGTATAGCCATACCTATATACTACCTGTATAGCCATACCTATATACTATACAGTATGGTGTACTAATGTATTGTAACTAATATAACAAGACAGACAGACGACTAGGGCTGTTTTCGAGAAATACCTATAGAGAAAAATATACTTTGGAGAGACAATTTTTAGAAAGTGTTTATTGTTGAGAGTTTTGACACGGTATTTGTTACCCGAATGCTTTCATCTTTAAGTACTTTAAAATCTCTGACATTTGTTTTACATTGTGACATTCTGTCAGGATTAAAAGATACATACCTGTCAGGATTTACGTTAAGGTCAAACACGTACAGGTACCATGGACTTCAACTTAAACTGGATGTACCGTTTATTGTCACGGTTTAGCCTTCTTGCACTGTAATGTTTGTTTTAGAATTGATGAAAAAGGCTAGTATAAAATATATTTATCATAGTATTCCGGTGGCAATTATTGTCTTGCTCTTTGCGGAAATATATCGAAAATCCTCTTTCTTATTTAAGTTTATTTTTCAACAACTTTTATTTGCTTTGTGAGCCCATCGCCACCCCTTACCGTTCAATGTATACAAGGGTCATTTTCATTGTATTATTTAAACTGAAGTGAGCAGTATTTCCTTCCTCTCTCCCATTTCGCCTAAAATAGGTGCAAATCCTTCCAGCGATACTTGTTTTTGTTTCATGTCTATTCAATTAATTATTTTAAATGTAATATATTTTCAGATCATCATCGAAATGGCAGCCGTTATTCCAAAAGGACAGAAAGTAGAGATTCCATCAGACAATGCGAAAGGCCCCCTTTCTGCTTATCATTTTAATGATCCTAAAACACACGCAATAGGCGTGATCATTTTACAAGAATGGTGGGGCGTCAATAAGCAAATTCAAGATGAGGCAGCCGACATTGCAAGAAGAGGTGAATTCTCCGCCATTTGTCCCGATCTTTACCGTGGTAGCCTAGCAACGAATAACGAAGAAGCTGGGCATTTGATGGAAAATCTCGATTGGCCAGGTGCCATTAAAGACATTGAAGCTTGTGCTAAATTTTTGCTCAGTAAGGGATGTAAGAAAGTGGGCGTCACCGGTTTCTGCATGGGTGGTGCTTTAAGCATGGCAGCCGCCGCCCTTATCCCAGAGGTCAGCGCCGCTGCTCCCTTTTACGGCATTCCCGATTCTGGTTTAGCCGATCCATCTAAAATTAAAGTCCCTATTCAATGTCATTTTGGTGACAGAGATGAACAAACCGGATTCTCGTGCCCAACTTCACAGGCAAAATTAATCGAGAAGCTAAAAGAAGGAAATGTGGTCTACGAATTCTACTCCTACAAAGATGCTGGTCATGCTTTTACAAACAAAGATGGTCCAAATTACAAAGCGGAGTATTATGAACAAGGACTTACTAGAATGTGTGATTTCTTTAAAAAGCATTTATTGTAAAACCACATGCTTTTAACTCCACCGGACAGGCAATTGAAAGTCATTTAAAGTTATATTATATTATTATTAAGTTTTTCTGAAGTGTTTGATTGTTGATTTCTAGTTCGTATCTATACATTACTGTATTTTAATACATAATCAATCTTTTCTCATTCCGAATTAATGTTTAAAAGGGAAATGTAATGCTAACTAATAAAGGGCTTTAAATTTGAATTCCATTGAGGTTAGGATGTTCATATTGTACTTATTTATTTTATCAGCATTGTAAAGGTGATTAAATACTCAAATACATCAAAAACAGTTATTACTACTAAAGGCTAAAAAATAATAAATATCTGCATGGATGCGTCAAAAATAATAATTTAGAAGCATCAAACACAAATTACTCTTTAAGAAGTCACCCAAGCTTTAATTGATGACAAATCAAATGCATGCTTTTGAAAACGTGTTTTTCCTATATATGTAAATCTCTATTGCGTTTGTTAATGTCTGTATTGTATTATACATGTATAATATTATGTTTTGTATTAAAATAGAAAATCTCAAATCAATAAATTATGGTTTCTCTACAACTGTTACAATTGTGTTCTGGATATAGATGGTGAGGGAGGAAAATCACGTCTCCGAAGTTATGGTGGAAAAAGTAATCCCCGAGGGGAAAATCCAATGTCTTCGCAATGGTTTCCTTTTATACAGAGTGCGAGAATTCAAATTTGAACCATCTAAAAAAGCACCCAATCAATTGAATGCATTTTCTCAGAACTAAATATCTTAGACAAAGAATAAATAGTTTTGCTGCTTCAGTCCTATCGGTTCCGTGTGGCTCAGTGATAAAAGCGCTGGCTCTCTAACATTGAAGTCCCAGGTTCGATCCCATTGTTGGCCGAGAAAGCGGCTTGAGATTTTACGGTGTAGTTTCCCAATGTTAGTGGTGCAGGGCAAAGAACAGCGTCTTATATTCGTTCGGATTGGACGAAACAACCGAGGGCCGTGACACATTGAGATTCATTCCTGTACGGGCAAAATTTCCCTCAACAAACACTGCATGGCGCGAGTCCCCCTGCATTAGCCCTCTGGAACAGAAAAGTATGATATTATACACCAGTTCATTCATTAATTCCTTTCGTTGGCTTGCTAACCTTCGGGTTAAAGTGCGAAGATTTCGATCTTGCGTTCTTGCCTTCGCGTTGATAACTCACAGCGGTAGCGACGAGCGAGATTTCTTGCCACCTTACCTTCGCTCCAAGGCTATATCCGGAAAGCAAGGAGGAGCGTAATTTCACTTCACCACCCGGTCATGCGACGTCCAAGAGAAACCGAAAATTGAAGTCCCCCAAATAAAATAAAAATAAAGTGTTGCAGTGTATGTACTGAAAGCACAAAAGACGTTAGAAAATGTAATACAAATTTCTGGTTATAATAATGAAGCGAAGAACGAAAGCCGGGCCGGTTTGAGCTTGCTTAAAATGTCACGGGGTCCTTGCTTCAACAGTGAAAAGGGGGTATATTCTGGTCATTATTCGTCACTCACACTCACACAAATGCTGTTTGTAGGCCAGTATGGTATAGCGTTTTATTTATTATATTTATATTTTTTCATAAATTTAGAAATTATTATAAAAGGCGTAGCACTAAAGATGATTAAACTTGAATAAGTGTACATATCTTCACTTCAATATGCTAAATTTGTTCTTTGGTAGCAAGGCTTCTATACATGAATAAAGAATTATTATTATTATCAGCAATAACATATACAAGGTAATAAATGTTATATTTATTTATGCAGCCCAGTTAGCACCCCCACCTCTTTAATCCGGGCCTGCATAAAAGAGTAACCGAACATTAAACACAGTTCCATACAAGTTTTAAGACTTTTACTGGATGTATACATTTCAAACAAGTGAAATGGTGCTAATTAGTAAAATATTAAAGTCACTAGCAAATCTTAAAATCGTAAAAATCAGGAATTTTAACAAAATGCATTATTCATATACAATCTATTCTTTGCCCATAATACCGAACTCGGTAATTTCTTCGTGATCCATAGTATTAACTGATGATTATTCAAGGGCAGATATTTTAACTGACACTTTATTTGACAGTTGTTACGTATTTTTAGAACAGGTTTCGAAGTGTTTGGGTTCTGTTATGCAAGATCTTTTTCGAAGTTCCAAAGTAAAAGTTCGGTGCTAAGACCACCTAAAGATGAATTTTAAATCTTCCTATTATAAATTAGAACAACTTGAAAGGTTGATTACTTTCGATCATTTTCAGCATGTTTTCATAATACAAGAATGGCTGAGCATTCACTTTCGGTGCAAATGACCACATTTGACCTTTGACCCCAAATATCTCGGAAACGCCCCAACGGCGGACTGATTACCACTAGGCATCGTATTTTACACATAATTCTAACCTAGAAAGGTTGGGTCTGGTTTTGTACCCATTTGATGGACACCCCCGCATTGAGCCTCCAGACTATGATCATGCTAATCCACAATTCTGTAACCAAGCGAAACATATAACGACACACAAAAACAAAATATAGATAAATCAATGCAGTATCGGGTTGAAAAAATTGTCATTAAAGGTGCGTCAGATATATGTGTCATTATGAAGTTATTCATAATTGCTTACAATCATAAATCACTGAAATTGTTATAGTCTTTTGTTTAAATGTATAGTTGCAGTTACTGTAGGTTCTGTTTATTTTGTTTCATGAAATAATTGAGTGAATATAAGCAGGTTCGTGTTTAGTATAAATAACCCTTAAACATCTGCCTTATTGGTAGGCTACGCGTGACGTTTTTCTCTTTTATTGAACCAGATGTAAGTTTATTTTATTGCATTATTTTAAATTCTTACGGTCCACCAAACTATTTATCATACAGAGCGCTGCATTAAAGGTAATACTCCAGTTGTGTTTAATGCGCGTAATTTACCATGGATACATAAGCTACAAGTCTTTCAATAATTGAACATCCAGACATAATATTCACAGCATTTGTATACTTTTCACTCTTGTTCCTGTCGAAAATTATTTTTGTCAGTATGCCCTAACGTCTGGATAATCAAGATCATTTCACTAACTCTCTAATGGAAGTTTAGTTGAGTAACATAGGATCGGTCATTCACGGAAAAAGCTGTTATAAAATATAAGTGACACAATTAATGTCAAATTGACGCTAATTATTTCATCTGCCAAGAATTTTTGCAGTTTAGGGATTACTATTTTCATTGTATTGTAGAGTCAGAAGTCAATATTGAATTACTAGCAGGATACCTGCTTCGTGCGGGGACAAAATTCGCACGGGGTTTAAATTTGCCAAGGGTCCGAATTCGGACCCCAAAATCCCACGAGGCCCAAATTCGCCTGGAGCCCAGTTTGCCAGGCGCCAAAATTCGCCCTCGGCCCAAATTCGCCCGGCGCACAATTCGCCTGGGCCCAGGTTCGACCGCTTTAAACATTCACGGTTAATTTGATACCACGTGTGGGTGGAGAGCTGCGACACAGCAAGATTAGCCCGGGGGACAAGGCCCAAATCGCTCGCGACCCAGGCCCAATTTTCCCGGATCCCAAATTCAATGGCCGAAAGCATTCACGGGATCATGCTGGTTAATATGATACCACATGTGGGGGTGGTCCGTGGCGGCGAAGCGTGATGTGCGAACATACACACTTCTTTGATTTTATTTATAGATAGCCATTTGTCAATGTCCATTTAATCCAAATACATTTCAGATAGCAAAACACCGTGCGTTATAGGTGATAAAAGAGTAATCATGCACAAACAATCAATCATTTTATTAATATTTGTCATTATTCACGAGTTCTATATGCCAGAAACGTTGCAATGCTTTGGACGTGTCAAAAAGATGTAAAGAAATATGTCAATTTAATTGGATCCGTCATCATTATTTTCCCTATTGGAATATTACAGTTAAAAGGTATATACACATCAGACATATTTGACAAGTTAGGGAGAGGTATTAAATGGACAGAATACGTCCACCCTACTTCCGGATTTCCAAGTTTAGTTTCCGGAGTATATCTCATAAGCCGCTCATGGATCTCTATGAGAGAGAGAGAGAGAGAGAGAGAGAGAGAGAGAGAGATGGGGTTTAACGTCCACTCGACACAAACTATGTCATTTCGGGACTAACACATGGTTCATTATTTCAATAATCCGCTGGTGCGTAGGGGTCTTTAGCAGTGGGAGGAAACCGGAGGACCCGGAAAAAACGCATGAGGTTAGACAGACGACCTTACTCCTTGTCACTTACAACCGGGGAATCGAAACAATGACAGACCTTATGAGCGCACACGTGCTAACCATTCGGCCATCCAACTTCCCCTATGATACTATAGTTATAGTATAGTACAACTTTCTCAGTTGAATAATTTTAGTGTTTCCATCAAACATATTTCACCTAGTTGTTGGCATACAATTGTTATTTGGGGAATATCTCACAGACCTTTCAAAATAACTTTATGAAACTTTGTACTCACATCAACCTGTTATAGTAGTTGCGCCTTTCGTTGCATAACTTATTTTTCTGTCAAGTAACTGTTGTATTAGCATGGGTAAAATAAAAACCTATGTACAAGTGTTGTCAAAAGACCGGTAATCGGCACCACAGATCTTAACTCAGATACACAATTCAAATAGGCGTGGGTCTTCGTTTGTGTGTGTGGATCTGGGTGTAAGTTGTATGGTGTTAGCGGTTAAATTTCTATTGCGAAAGATTGAGCGGTCTTATTTAAAAAAAACTTTGATTGACTTCTGGCTAACGGTGTCGATAGGGGATCACAGAATCAGTTATATCATAAATTAGACTTTATCTACGGACGTAAATCTAAACATCCTTTACCCATGCTATTTAATCGAATTTGCCACACCAGCGCCATCGTAAGAATCGTGATTGAACTATTGGAGCCTGGAATATTCTTCTCAAGAGTAGTCTGAGGACCACTCGATACCACGGCCATAAAATCTTGAAGAAATCTGCGACCTTATTACATATCTCCTTCTGATTTCTTTTAATATAACATAGGTGCCATTATACCATATATCATATCCTATTTACACTCACGGGCGAAGTATGACAAAGATGATGTTGGAACAGAGGTATGGGTAACATCTCTGTATTTTGCTGGAACCTTATCACCGGTATTCAATACATTTCTCGAAAAACACCTTGGAATTCGAGCAACAGTTTTTCTTGGAATCGTCATAGCAGAGTAAGTGTTTTCATCGCAAATATATACAATCCAAAACCTTTGCTGCGAGTACAATGAGCAGTATATCGTTACACTGTCTTTGTTGAGAGTAAAACTTAATGAATGTATAATTCTTGGAATAGTATTGCTTATCACATAACGGGCTGTCTATTTTCGACACACTTTCGGTTTATTGCCATTGGCCGATTACTTTCCCGTGCATTATTATCACACTACAAAAAAGATCAGCACGAATATACCTGGATAGCATTCTGTAACACCAGAAAACAGTTCCACGGAGTTTGACATATTATTGGACTCTGCCATAAACTACGTTGACCTTAGGGAAAT